TTGCACACATCTGGACTATTTCACTGAAAGTTGAGACTTGCTGGAATATGATAAAGCAGGAAGGCTGTTTTTCCTCTTCCTACCACATCTACAGATTTGGGCAGATAATGAATCTAAAAATGCAAAGGACAGAATCTGCTTATCTGAAACATTTGTTTACCAGAAACACTTTACCAGAAAAACAGGAATTATAGAAGATCCAGCAGCTGACTAACTTCTTTTTACGGTAACTTAAAACATTTCACTGAGCACAGAACTTGCATCTTCAAATCCTGAACACACTTTGTAGACTGTAATCTCTAATGGGAAAAAATCTGATTTGCCAGCTACAAGTAATATTCCCTGCCTTTACCTGCTAAGAGGACTGGAGAATGGAGGTGGGGGCTGAGGMMGRATTTTTATTTAACTAATATGCAAAKTAAAGATCAGAGCTTCACACATTCATAATTGAATGCCTGTTTCCTTACAGAGCCAGGTGAGTAAGTTGGACATTCCAAATGGAGTTGAAGAGAATTTAATTATTTTCCTACAGAAAACAACTGCAACATGAAATYAAATTTGACTACTTAGATAAAGACTTCTTTCTTGCATTTCAACTTAAATTATGCTTTAAAATATGTCAAAGGGTGTGTGGAGCTGAACTGGATAATTTTTTTTCTTTTCAAAAAAGTAGAATGATCATTGAAATTATGTTATGTTAGTAAAAAAATATTTCAAAGAGCTTCTGAAATTAATCTGTTGTGTTTTTATTCCCTCTATTCTATTCCTACTAAAAATCAGCTCAAATACATATTTATTAGGAGTTACTGAAGACTGCAAAATAAAGCTAGCAAGCACACACAWTAATAGTGGGAAAACATATTGGTAGAAGTTGTCCTAGATAGTTTCTATTTGTTTAATTAGTTAACAGTAATGAAATGAGCAATTTCTGTGGCTTTGAAGCACCTCCTCATTTCCAGCCTAAATTCATAAGTCTAATGAAAAAAAGATCATATATATCATATAAATCATAAATATCTGCTCCACATCCATGGATACAGATTCCCAGTCACATTGTTAAKTGCTGAAGCAGCGCCCAAGGTCATGCACAAGGCATCCCATGCAGAGCAGCTGAAGGCCCCAGCTGTACTCACGCTGAAGATGCTTTAAACTCATCCTCAAATGCACTGTCATCCTTGTTATCAGTGTGTAAGACCATGGGGCTCTCAGGTGTCAGCCCACTAAAGACCAGGCCACAGAAGGTGATGGAAAACAAGCATGAATGTGTTGTTGAATGCAAA